ATTGGTGGTTTCCTTGCAGTCGTTTCGTGACCCAACAAGGTAACATCCTCAGTGCTGTCACTCCCTTCAGCACTGAAGTTGTTGGTTAGTCATGTAATGAAACGTCTGCATGGAAGCCACCGAGCTTTGAGGGCGCCAAGGATCTCCCAAGAAACACCCTCCACCAACACGGACAGGGCAGACCAGTTGTATACAAGCAGAGAGCAAACCCCACTCCCTAGTACCACAGATGTTACCTAGTTGGGTCATGAAACGTCTGCAAGGAAACCACCCAGCTCAGAGACCCCTCAAGGACCCTTCACTCTACACTCCTCCAGAATGCGCAGAAGGTCAACCTAATCCCCCCTCCCCCAAACCCACTGGGGGCTGAATGTCTATGGAGGTTCTCCATCACCCAGGTAGGTCACGGTTGTCCCAAAGGTGCTTTGCCAAGGGGGCAACTGGACCTTCTGGGTTTGCCTTGAAGACGCTTCGCTTCTCCTCCAAGAAGCTTCTTCAGCTCTGACCGGGTGGCGGGGAGTGGAAGGATTTACACTCCCGGCAGACAAAGCTGGTCGTTTGCATCCTTTTTGCCACTTCCCAGTTGCATTTCTTCCAATCCCCACCTTCCAGGCAGAGCCGAAGAAGCTTCTTGGACCCGAAGCGAAACATCTTCAAAAGAGAAACGGGGAATTCCAGTGGCCTCTTGGGGGGGAGGGGGAAAAAGCGCCTTTGGGACCACTGGTGGCACTTGGTCTGTGTGGTGGAGTGTAGTCTGGAGGGCTGCTTCTCTGAGGGCAAAGAGGGAGCCGGAACCGGACCCTCTCTTGCACCTCACCCAGTCGCCCTCTTCCGTGTCAAGATTAAGCGGCCAGAATGAAGCCACCTTCGTCGTCGTGGCCCAAAATAAGCCATGATCTGTACATGTTTGTTGTCGGGATTCCAGCAATCACATCACGAGTCTCAAGCCAAACTTCCAAAAGTAAACAGGATTTATTGGGAGTTAACAATGCCTGGCGCTGCCTGGGTGCAGCCGACTCTGAGACACATCGTTCATTGTCACCCTTGACCCTGGTTTTCCTCCCACCCCTCTGGGTGTATCGTAATTCGTATCCTCCAATGGGACCCATCCATAGCCCAGAGTCATCCATCAGGCTCTCCAGTTAGAATTTTGCACGGCAGAAACTTCAGTCACCTAGTTGCAGTCTTTGGAAACATTGATGGAATGCACTTTCGGTTTGCAAGCTGTCACACTGTTCTTTCAAACCCCCTCCCCCCGTTTCTGTTGGCAATTCTAAAACGCCCATACAAAATGTTTTATGAGTTGACATTTGTATCTTACCAATTAACGATTCGTAACTATGACCAACTTGCTGTTGGTGTGTGCACACCGGGGACAAATTCCTTGTGGGTCCAATCACACTTGGCCGGTAAAGTGTTCTGCTCGTTCCGTTCTCTGGTAGTCGCCAACATACCGGCAGATGTGCCGGGCTGTGCAACTCTCTTCATTCACTTGTATCCGTTATCCACTCAGAGCTTCCATGGGAGCATATTGGTTTTTTTTTTATTTAGGCCAACTCTCAGCTTAGTTAGGGTCCTCCAGGTGTAGTAGAAAGGGAGGTCAGGTCCTCTTTCCATGTCGTTCCTGGCCGGTCAGTCTCCTTCCTCCTCCTTTTCATCTTGTTCTTGTGTATTCTCAAGAGTTGTTGTGGTTAGCTGGCAACAGGTGTGGCTGGCGGAGGAGAGCGAGGACTCAGGTGAGGGGCCAGGACCATCAGGGAGTGGACTGCTGCCTTCAGAGATTGTGGGGGCTGGCAGCAGCGATGAGGAGTTTCCCGAGGAGCCTGTGCCAAGCGCGCATGCGCGCAGGGTTGCTCAGAGAAAAGAACAGTTACAACAGCACAGGCAACTCAAGAGTAAGGCTGCAAAGTAATGGCCACTCCTTCAAGAAGATAAAAGGCAGCTGTGCAGAGAACGTACTTCGCAGGAAGCAAAGACATTTTGAAAACTCCAGCCTCGTGGACATTCCAGTATCCTGAGTTTATATTTGAAGATTCTTATTTTGCAAATTATTTCCTGTCATCTTTTGGCGAGTCTCGCACCGTTTGGCAAGGCTTGTGCTTATCCCAGCTAATCATTTTGCAAAAAGCATTACAAGGTTTCTGTTCCTTTTTGGATTTGTGTTTGATTTGTTGGGAAAGGCCGTGGGTCCGAACAAGAGTCTTCGTTCTTGCCATCACCCCCATTCCTCGGTCTGAGTCAGCAGGCTTGAGCACCTGTCCGTTCAGAGGACGGCGAGCGTCGTCCCCTCCCTCCGTTCTTTCGGCCTCTGCTGCTGTTGCTTCTATCCCGTGGGGCAATGCCCATGAGAGGATACATTTCGTTTTGACCTGTTTCAGGTGTGTCTTGATATACAGAAAAGACAAAAAGAGTCCAGGTATTCTCCGTGTTTATTGAGCTGAATAAAGACGGGCCTCGAACACACTTGGCGACACATGTTTACACATTTGCCTCTGTCTACTTCCTCCAGAAGCGCCGGCACACTTCACCCAGGCAAGCGCGACACACTCTAGATAAGATAAAGAAGTACAGAAACAGCCACCGGCGGCCCGTGGAGGTTCTCCAAGGACATGGGGTGTCATCATCTCAGGGACTTGGGGTGAACTTTCCATGACCTTGAAGGGCCTGCAGAGTCAACGGTCACACGGGCCCAAGGTGCTCCCTTCAAGACTTTCAAGAGAAACCTTAGATTCCTGGTCGACCGTTTTCCCCTTTAAGTACACAGAGTATATCTATAGTTATAGAGGCGGTTGGTTTAGCCTGGCAAGAGTCTGTCTGTAGGCGAAGAATCTTATCAGATAAGTTTTATTGTCCGAGTACAAGATGTGTACAGTGAGATTGGCTGGGCCTCCCTCTGTGCCCACACACCAACACAACTCACAGTGAGGACAGAAGTCCCTAACCCAGACCCAGTCTTATTACCCTATATGACCTTGTTGCACAACACACCGGCCCCACAAGTCTACCCTACTATGTTGACATGAAGTTATTTCCCGTTCAGGAGTCTGACAGCCACGGGTAGAAACTGTTCTTCAGCCTGTTGGTATGGCTGGCTATGCTTCTCTTATCTCCTACCCGATGGTAGGAGAGTGAAGAAGTGCTGACAGGGGTGTGAGTCTTCCCTGAGGATTATCCTTACTCTTCTAAGGCAGCGAGCCCTAGCGAGGTCATCTAGTGGTGTCAGGGGACAGCCCGCCATCTTTTGTGCTGTGCTCCCCAATAGCAAGTAGCAAAAGAAACTATTCTGAAGTAACTCCCTGGGTCGCTTTTTGGCTGGCTGGGGAATTCTGGGAGTTGAAAAGTCCCCCTGTCTTAAAAGTTGCCACGGTTGGAGAGAGGCCCGATCGAACAGTCTTGCCTGACGAGAAGCAGAACCTGACCGTTGGTTGGTTTCTTCCCAGGTGATGGTCATGCCGGAAGGTGCCGAAACCGTCTCCAGGCCGAGTCCTGACTACCCCATGCTTCCTACCATCCCTCTCTCGGCCTTCTCCGACCCGAAGAAGTCCAAACCATCCCATGGCTCAAAGGTGAGTCGCTTTGGAGCACAGGCGGCCCTCGGCGTATGGCCGTCATTGAGCCCGAAAGGTCTGTGGTTAAGCGAGCTTTGCCCCTGTTTCGCGACTTTTCTTTTCCACCGTCACTAAGTGAATCACTGAAGTTGTTCGGCGAGTCACACGGCTGTTCAGCGGCTTCCCTGTGGAGGTGTTGCTGGTCACAAGGTCGCAAAAGGCGATCCCGTGGCCCCAGGACACTGCAACCGTCATAAATACGAGTCCAGGGATGCTGCCATGGTCATAAGTGTGGGGAAACCGTCATAAGTCACTTGCTTCGATCCCGTTGTAACTTCGGTCACTCAATATTTTTTTTAAAAAAAAGGAAAATTGGAAATTACGATCCTAAAACATAAAACATATCAGTTGAGGTAATTCCCCGTTAGGAGAATGAGCGCATACAGGGAGACGTATTTGAGAGGAGCGTTTGAATAACACACACACACAGCACACAGATACACTGTACAGTAAATGTAGGTTTTTACTTCCAGAAAGGTTTAAGCAAAGTCCAAAATAAGCAATCCAAAGTCATTCACAGGTAAATCAGTCAGTTTTCAATCCAGGGATAATCCAATAACAAAGTCCAGTGTCAAAAACAGTTCAGTATCAGACTTACACCAAATCCAGGAATACCAGTCAATTATGAGGAACGGCAATATTCTCCAACAGAAGGAAACAGACTGACTCACACTCTCTTCTGAGACTAAGACTAAAACTAAACAACCCAGGTTTCTGGCTCCATCTTATGGCCTGTTTGAGAAACCACACCCAATTTGCCGTTTTTAGCATCCTCTTAAAGATACAGCATTAAAATGTTTATCCTGGTTTATATATTGTCCAACCCAAATACCTGTTAGGTGACTTATATTCCTAACATGTATCATAATTCATATTCTCCAATGGGACACCTCCATAGCTCAAAGTCATCAATCAGGCTCTCCAATTATCCAGGGATAATCCAAATATCAAATTCCAGTGTCAAAAAACAGTTCAATATCAGACTTACATTAAATCCAGTAATATCAGCCAATTAGAAGAAATGGAGCAACGGCAATACTTTCCAACAGAAGGAAACAGAGATAGAGTCACACTCTCTTCTAAGACTAAGACTAAGACAACCCAGGTTTCTGGCTCCACCTTATGGCTTTTTGAGAAAACACACCCAATTGCATGGTCTTGCATTCCCTTAAAGACATAGTACTAAAATGTTTATCCTGGTTTATATATTTCTAACCCAAATAGCTGTTAGGTGACTCATATTCCTAACAATATTCATAAAATATAAATATAGTGGCTGTGGAGAATCTCAAGTCATCCAAGTCACGGTGGTTCCAAAGTTTTCTTTTCAAGAACGAACTGTTGCTGGTCCGTGAGAAAACTTCGGTAGTCCGCAGAGAAAGCCACTCACCCACCCCAAAGCAATTAATCCAGGCTGCGCAAGAATACAAGGCCACCCTTGCCGAGCGCAAACCTTACCTGGAGTAGAGCCACGTGAGCTGGAACTGGAAGGTAAGACCAACGGCAGGGGAGGCAAATCCGCCCCAGGGTGGCTTGCTGACGCCGAAGGGAAAGTCAGTCCCGTATTCCAGAGCTGCAAGGAGTCACAGGACTGGCCCTTTGGTCACCCTGGAGCAGCCGCTCTTCCGCTCCATGGCAGGCCGGTGCACCCGGGTGTCGTAGCTGCTCCGGGGTGACCAAAGGGCCAGTCCTGTGATGCCTGCAGCTCTGGAACATGGGACCGACTTCCCCTTCGACGTCAGCAAGCCCCCGTCAAGTCAGAATTCATCTTCGTGGTCCGCGGGATTTAAAGCTATGCGTTTGGTGGTCCCTGAGGTCCAAAAGGTTGGTGACCCTTGTTCTAATGAATCCTTAAATGTCCATTTAATTAGTAACATAATAAGAGTCCTGAAAACGGCTTTATTAATGGAGAAAGAGAGAGAGAGAGAGTTTACAATAGAAAATAGGAAAGCAGAGTGTGGCTGTTTTCTTGCAGTTGAAAAGTCCCGACGCGGGGGGAAAAAAACCAGATCCAACTTTTTTACTCTCGTTCCAAAGGGCAGGACGAAGCCATCGGCCCATATTTCTTAGTAGCTGGAGCTGTTCAGAAAGGGTGTTTGAGGTACCTTGAGTGTGAAAGGAGGGCTTGGTTTATACAAGCCACAGTTTGGCCACGGGGTGAGCGGATTCACACACCATTTTATGCAGGCGATACAGTATTTTCTTCGGCAAGTCGTATCGCTTGGGTGCTTTTTTCTTGCCTTGACCTGGTGGCCGTTTTGGCTCCCAACAGATCCACCCCCATTAAAATTATAAGTCTCTGGCCGCTTCTCTCAGAGTTTAAAAAAAATAATAATGATTTATTAGGAGTGGCCGTGTTGGCGCGCTAAAATACACCATTCATTTTCCCCTTGATCCTGGTCCGTTTCGAACTAATTGTCTCTGATAAGAACGAGCCTTGCCAAGATGGCGCAAAGCTGCCAAGAACACTAGATAAAAGTTGACAAAAGAGTCTCCAAACACCAACCAAGATATTCCAAATGTCCACGAGGTTTTGACTGCAAGAACTTCTTTTTTTGTTTTTTTTGAAAAAAAGTTTTATTGACTTTAACAACAAACAAAAACACATAAAACATCAAAGCATCACCTTTTTTGTGCATCCATTTCATAGTCGCCATTATAGTTATATTACATAATAACTCATATTATCAATCGACGTTTATATAACCTGATACCATTACTGAACAATCATTTGACTATCATTTTGTTAATTCATACTTTAACGAGATAACTCTAATTTACTTAATTTAATTTACCACGAATCATAAAATCATACCAAGTCTATCTTAATAAAACTTTATAAAAATAGTATCAAAGGAAAAGGAAAAAAAAAAAAGGAAGTATATATTCATTATATCCTAAGTTTCTAAATATTCTATTGTTATATTTTATTATCTAACCATTGCTAAAAAAAAAAAAAAAAGGTCCCAAACTTCATAAAATTGTTTCTCTTCTTTGTTCTCTAATTTCAAAGAGTGCAAGAACTTCTTTGCTTCCTGCAAAGAGCTCTGGTTTCTCCACTGGCTTTTTATCTCTTAAGGGAGGCGCCGTTACCTTGCAGCCTTACTCCCGAGTCACCCATGCTGCTGCAGCTGCTCTTTCCTTAGAGCAGCCCTGGGCACAGGCTCCTCGGGGCGCTTTTCCTCACTGCTACCAGCCTCCGCCGTCTCCGAAGGCAACACTCCACCCCCTGATGGTCCTGGACCCATATCTGCATCCCACGGAGGCCCCTCATCCGAGTCCTCGCTCTCCGAGACCTCGGCCATCCGCACCTGCTGCCAGCGAACCACAACAGACCCATCCATAGCCAAGATGCATCAATCACGCTCTCCAGTAATAATCTTGCGTGCCAACAGCTTCGGCTGCTGATTATCTGAAGCATTTAAGGAATGCACTGCTTTCCCCCTCACTCCCTTTCTGCTGGCAACTAAAAGGACCAAAGGAGTCTAGATAATTTTTTAGTTGACAGCAGGTTTTCAAAAGCAAAAATCCACGATTAAAACAGAAGGGCCCGTTAGCCTTTCAGGAGTCGGCCTCTTATTTCATTGAGTGGCCTCAGCGCTGCAAAGCGTGACTTAACGACCGCTTTTTGCACACTCAATGGCCGTTGCGGCATTCCCTCCCCCCCTACCCCCCCCGGTCACGTGGCCCAAAATTTCCGACGGTGGGGCCAAACTGGATCACATTTACAACAATCACAGGGTCGTGTATGTGTCTGTGTCTCGCACGTTCCCCTTTAGCAATCTTCCGGCAAGCCGAGTCCACAGGGAAGCCAGATTTCCCCCTTCACAGCCATGTTACTTGGCTTACTACCTGCCGGGTTTCGCTTAAATTAGTGACAGAGGTTTTGGGCTCAGTGGCGGGGTGTAAGTTGAGGACTGCTTAGGCGGGGCGGCTCCTTTTACGAGGCAATTCAAGGGGCGTGGCTACGTTTCCCGGTGGACTAATCGGGTGTTTTAGTTGGCTACCCATCAAAACCAGCATCATTTACGCCAGGAGTCCCCAAACTTGGGCACTTTAAGACTTGTGGACTTCAACTCCCAGAATTCTCCAGCCAGCTGGGAGTTGAAGTCCACAAGTCTTAAAGTGCCCAAGTTTGGGGAACCCTGAGCTACGCCAAGGCGATGCTGTAAGGAATGATTCGGTCTTTCTCAGCCCACCCAGGGACTCTACAAAGTCTTGGTTTTGTCCCCCAAGTTAACCGCTGTTGGTGCAAATTTTGTGCCCTTTCCGGAATGTGGGACGTCTAGTTTTAACGCACGCGGTGGTTCAGGGCCTAAGACGCGGAGCTTGTCGATCAGAAAGCTCGGCGGTTCAAATCCCTAGCGCCGCATAACGGAGCGAGCTCCCGTGCCTTGTCCCAGCTTCGGCCACCCGAGCCGTTCGAAAGCCCGTAAAAAAAAAAAAATGCGAGTAGAAAAACAGGGACCCCCTTTGGTGGGAAGGGAACGGCATTCCGTGCGCCTTCAGCATCCTGGCCCACATGACCCCAGAGACGTCTTCAGACAGCGCCGGCTCTTCCGCTTTGTAACGGAGATGAGCACCGGCCCCTAGAGCCAGAAACGACTAGCACGGATGTGCAAGGGGAAAGCTTTAGTTTAATGGAAAGAGGGGACTGGGGGCAACAGGATGGCAGGATTCCAATATCTCAGGGGCTGCCCCAAAGAAGAGGAGGGGCTCGAACTGAAGGCAGGACAAGAAGCAATGGATGGAAATTAATCCATAGATTGTAGACTGGGGGACACCAGGCTCAATGGCAGGAACTGGGAGGGGGATCTTGGAGTCTTAGTGGACAACCAGCTAAATAGGAGCCAGCTGTGTGCAGCAGCAGCAGCCAAAAAAGCCAATGCAATCCTAAGTTACAATCAAGATCAAGTGAGGCACTAATACCACTCTATAAAGCCTTAGTAAGGCCACACCTAGAGTCCTGCACCCAGTTTTATTTGGCACATTATAAAAAAGATGTTGAGATTCTAGAAAAAGTACAGAGAAGAGGAACCAGGATGATGAGGGGACTGGAGACTAAAACATACGATGAACGGTTGCAGGAACTGGGCCTGGCTAGTCTAGGGAAGAGAAGGACCAGGGGAGACAGGAGAGCATCTTCCAATATTTGAGGGGCTGCCACAGGGAGGAGGAGGAAGGGGTCAAGCTATTCTCCAAAGCCCCCAAAGGCCAGACAAGGAAAAATGGATGGAAACTGATCAAGGAGAGATTCAACGTAGAAATAAGGAGAAATGCTTCTGACCGTGAGAACCATCAACCAGTGGAACAGAAGTTGCCTTCAGAAGTCGTGGGAGCTTCCATCCCTGGAGGCTTCCAAGAAGAGACTGGTTTGCCATCGGTCGGAAATGGTGTAGGGTTTCCTGCTTGGGCCGGGGGTTGGACTAGATCAGTGGCCCCCAACCTTTTTGGTGCCGCGGCCCGGTACCGGCATCATAAAATCCTCCGCGGCCCGGTACCAGCATCAGCACGCATGGCAAGGCGAGCCGAGCGACCGGCCAGCCAGCCGTCCCCGGCTTCTCCCCGCCACCTTCAACTCCTCCTTTGTACCTTTGTCGATGGGCTTCGCTTCGGGACGGCTTCGGGACGGTCGCTCGGCTCGCCTTGCCTTGGGTGCTGAAAGAATCCTCGCGCCTTAGTTTTGTTTGAAGCCGCCCCCCCCCCTTCGATGAAACTAAGGCGCGAGGATTCCTTCAGCACCCAAACGCCGCTTTCTACCCGGAAAAGCTCACCGGAAGCACTTTTTCATCAAAACAAGATGGCGGCGCCCAGCAAACCGGCGGCCCTGTAGAAATTGTTCCACGGACCGGTACCGGTGGTTGGGGACCCCTGGACTAGATGATCCACAAGGTCCCGCCCCCCCGACTGTGCTAATCTGTTAAAAGGCGTCGGGTCTCCTACTTGGCGGGGGGGGGAGGTGGGGGTTGGACTAGATGACCTTCCAACGATGTTATTCTTTTATTTCTTTCCCCACCCACCCACCCCGGTGTCTAGGAGGTGAACAAAGAGGGGGGCAAACTCTCCAAGCCCCACAAGGTCACCCGGGAGCATCGAGAGCGGCCCCGGAAGGACTCGGAGAGCAAAGCCGCCTCCCGGGAGGCGGAACGAGAAGCCGGCAAGGCCGCCAAGGAGCCCTCCAAGAAGCACGCCACCGAGAACAAGGGCCCGAAGGAGGAGAAGCCTCTGCCCAAGGCCGCCCTGAAGGAGGCCAAGCTGGCCCTGAAGGAGGCCAAGCTGGAGAACGCCTCGCCCAAGGGGGCGCCCCCGGCCCCCGAAGGGAAGCCTGCCTCGGCCAAGCGGCCCCTGGCGGTGGAGTCGCCCAAGCCCATGCCCAAGAAGTTGAAGAAGAACAGCTCGAAGGGGGCCAAGACCCTCCCCACCAACACCCACCGGGCCCCCAACCCCACCGCCCCCGCCAACCCCGCCAACCCCACCTCCTCCTCCTCCTCCTACGCGGAGAAGAAGCTGCCCAAGGAGAAGGGGCCCAGCGCCAAAGCCGAGAAGGCCAAGCCGGAGAGCGAAGCCAAGGCCGCCAAGAAGCCCGTGGAGGTGGCCATGGCCGAGGAGTCCAACTCGGAGGATGAGGCCTCGCTCAAGTCCGAGGTGAGGGACGGCCCCGGCTGACCGCGCTTTCCTCTGGCCAGGGAAAGCCCCCCCCCCCCCCCTGGCTGTTCATTTGGGGGGGGAGGGGTTTGCCCGGGGCGTGTACAGGTAGTTCTCGACTTAACAACAGTTCGTTTAGTGACCGAAAGGACAACAGCGGGGCTGAGAGCAGTGGTTTCATTTTTCACACTTAGCGACTGTTTGCAGCATCCGCAGACCCACGTTTAGGACAGTGGCCGGTGTGCCCGGGGGTGTTCAGCCACCTCCTGGCCAGCAAAGTCCATGGGGGGGGGAGGGGGGAGCCAGCTTCCTTTCCCTTCCCTTCCCCTGCAATTCCAGGGACCCGCAGAACAAAGGCGGTGAGGGAAGTTCCGTAAACCTGGGGCCAGACGCACTTAGCGACGTAAATTTGGGGCTTGGTTACGGCCGTAAGTCGAGGACTACCTGTAATATATGTTTTGAAGTGTATGCTGCCCAGAGTTACTGACCGAGATCCCTGACCCCGGCGATAGAAATTGACTGGATGAGTGTGCGTGACTTGGATGGATGAGTGAATGGTTGGATGAGTGAATGGATGGATGGATGAGTGAATGGATGGATGGATGGATGAGTGAATGGATGGATGAGTGAGTGGATGGATGAGTGAATGGATGGATGGGTGGATGAGTGAGTGAATGGATGGATGGATGAGTGAATGGATGGATGGATGGATGAGTGAGTGGATGGATGGATGGATG